TCTGTGTATTAAAGATATTGTTATTGAACGGATCACATAATTTTATATCTTGAACAATTAGTTATTATAATTTTAATTTGAAAGTTTAGAACTTCCAACAATTTTCTTACTGACTTTAGAAAATTTCAGATAAAGTACATTTTGTTTAAAAACTTATTTATGAATCTTATTGATTTATAAGTTTTATTTGCAGTGTATAAAGAAATTAATAAGCTCTTATAAGCAGGGTTGGACGGCAAAAACCAGTAAGTGAAAAAAACCATGGCAAATTCCGGTTTTTACCGTCCCAAACTTTATCCAATGGAATAAACTGGAAAAATTTATAAAAATGACTAATATACAGGGTGTTCCACACCTGACGTACCCGTTAATAGCAGATTCATGTGATCAATTTAAAACGAAAATTCTTATTATTACACTTAATTAATAACTCATACACATACTTATACATAAAGATAAGAAATAATTATAACTTAAACAATACGTATGTAAAATTATGTTAGTTTCGAGAAAGAATTGTCCTGAAACATTTTTACTAGCAATGTGACTTGACTGAGCGCGTGAACTCCTGACAAATGGATTGGCTAACTTTAAATTCTCACTTAAAACTTCTCATTTAAAAATTTTTATAGCCTTATCATTTTGGTATTAGAATTATCGTTTTAAAATGATTTCAGGAATTAACGGATAGTACCTCAGGTCTGGAACACCTTGTATATAAACTAATTATATTTATTATATTACTAACTAAATTTATTATATAACTAACTATTATATAACTATTATATAAAATATTTATTATACTACTAACTAAATATAAACTAAATATATTTATTATATTATTTTATACAAAAAGAGATATATATTTAATAAATTATGTTAATCACTATGGTTTAAAAAACGAAATCAATATAATATTAAAAAGCTTTTAATTCAAATTAGTACATAAAATATATCTACTTTTAAAACAGATACTTTAAAGGTGTTACTAAATTTTATATCATATTTCTAATAAGAGAGGAAACATAATAGTAGAATTAAAAATTTTTATCACTGCAGATCTGGTTCGAATTTACCATTCAACGTCTTATAACAAAATACTAATTTATTAGCTCTATCGATTCCTAATCTATTACGGATTTTATTTTGGATAAAACTTAAATTGGAAAGCATTCTCTCAATTGACACGGAATTTACTGGACAGTTATGTAAGTGCATGATAAAATTAATAAAATCTGCAGGAAGATGATCATTTTTACTGAATGCTTTCCATCTCATTCTAACATTCATATTTTTGGCTTTTTAAAAAAAAGATTTTAGAAAGGGTTCAGCCTCTGCTTGAAAGGATATAATTAACGGTAAAACATCCGGAAATAATTCTGATGCATAATTTCGTGCTGTTTCTTCTTGTTTTTAGACAGTCTTGTAGTATCATATTGCAGATGCAATATATAAGCTAACATATACGCAGGTGTAATAGTTTCAGAAAATCTCTTTTCCAAAATATTTTTATATGGTTCCAATTTTTCATTATTCATGGATGTTATCCATAAATTGGTACAGTCCGTTATGTTACATTCTTCAGCTCGATACTAATATCAAATAAATCATAAGAATTAAAGTAAAAAATTAAAGAAATAGATTAGAAAGACACATTCGAGTAATTATTCACATGTAACATTTTGTGTAATGTAACATTTTTTATAAGCATGTAAATATTATATTTTATTGCAACTTTATATAATTTTATCAAATTATATATATAATACATCTAAAGACAATTAATAAATATAAATTAACTTTTTCTGAGCACAATGTGTATGTGCGTGTGTGCGTGCGTATATATGCGTACGTATTTATATTGTACGTATGTATGTTGAAGTAAAAATAATGAAAGAGAATTGCATTTCTTTTTAATAAATATAATTTTTTTTAGTTTTACCTTATCAAGCGCACTTGTTATATGTATTAATTGAACGTACAAAGATTTTACTTCTTTATAAATCGCAACATTATTAATAATGCGAGCAATCTTGTCATTTATCTCTTTTTCATGTTCATCAACTATTTGAAGGTAAAATTGTTGATTACGAATAAAAGTTTCCTAATATTTTAGTTGATTGTTCCATTTTCTTTCACCAGGTAACTGAGGTTTGCATGATCCTTCAATTCTTTAGCCATACTCCTACACAATAATCTGCAGATTTTACGTTACATCCAGACTCAATTGCCGATAAGAAATAAGACAATTCGCCAGTAGAAAAAATATTAGCAATAATTGGAGTATTATATACCTCGCTCCAACCATCTTGCATTAATATAACTGTGTTTTCATTCAACTCGGTTTGCACTTTATCCATGCATGATTTTATCATAAATTTTATTTAGTAAATTTCCAGATAACTGTTTTCTATTTGGAGGTTCATATCTTGGTCGTAAAACTTGGATAAAATTTTTAAAATGTATATTTTCAGAGACTCTAAAAGATATGTTGCAAGCATAAAAATTTTGCCATTGCCTTGTCTATTTCTTCTTTATGTGCAGTTGTAGTTTTAATTATATAATTTGACATCAAAGGCTATTTCATAAAAGCATGAAGGTGATTTAATATTAATTCGTTTTCTTTATTCGATTCTTCCAAATCATTGTCTAAATTGATCTTCATTTATTAAATTAGCTTCATTCTTTTGAAACTTATTACACTTTTGAAGATGCTGTTTCAATTATGGGGCTTTTGCACTTACTAATATTTCACAAGAAATACATTTCTGTTTATTGATGTTATTAACGGAACAGGATTCAAGAGCAAGACCATACAGCGTCTTTGTGTCTTCCTAATGCGTTTTTCTAATTACTCATGTTAACTACACTAACAACTTCACCAATAACCAATAATCAGTAACCAAACCAATAAACGTATAACTTTAATACAGGTACCTAGAAAGATTTGTAGGGAGTATGAATAAATGAGCGACCTTTCCAGCGCGTTTATTTTTTGATGTTTAAATATTCTCGCGCAGAACCGTAGCTAAGATTATAGGCACCTCGAGCTACCTATGAATTAAAATATCTCGATAAGATTTTCTATTTATTTTACTATTTTTAATGGAAAAGATCAGTTTTTGCCGGTTTTTCCGGAAAATACCGGTTTTTACCACTGACATGGACTTTATCCAGAAAATGTGGAATTTTGTCGACCCTGCTTAAGACACACACACACGCATGCACGCACATGCACAAACATTTTTAGTAATTTTTTTAATCTCTTTTTTAAATTTTGTGTTATTAATTTGTAGTGCTTATTGTTAACTTTTACATTTTTAATATTATTGGATGTATTCATTATTTTTTCAATAATAGGTACAATATTTCATTTCACCCTATTTTTGAACTTAAACAATTTTAAATGTTTATTAATGTATGTATAATTTTTGTACAGCATGTTCTTATATTTATATTTGAATCACTTTCGTGAATTTAAACTTTTCGAATATAAATGATTTAGAATGTTTACTCATGTATATATAATTATCATATAGTGTAGTTTTACTTACATTTGCATTTTTAGGGTTTAACATATTGCCTTTTATATACATTTATATTTTTTAATTTACAGAGAAAGAGCAAATGATGTTCTGTCTTAAGGGGATGCTGGAGTGTTCATTTTTACCGACTAAACGACGTAATTTTATTACACGCGTTTCTCTTTATTGGCTTCACAGATTGAAAAATCGGTTTGCTCTAGTTAAAGTACGTGCACTAATGCAGTCAAGGCTGCCCGAATAATCCCGAAATGGAAAATAATTTAAGAAATTCAAATCTTCCTTATCTATTCTGAGGGTAAACTGCTGTCAACTCGTGACAAGATTTGCTTCCTATAAAAGTTCTACGCTTCGTTGTTACAAAATGAGAGTAGTCTTGACTGCGGATTATGTGAAGAAATAACACACAATTTACAGAATTTGGTTCAGACACCTAATATAAAAGAAACGCGTGTAATAAATATCACGTGAATGCGTGCGTGCGTAGACCTCAGATTTCGTTTTTTGATATGAAATCGATACTCGCGTAGTTTATTTTTGCGCGTACTTTAATACTGCAAAAGAATTTTGTACTCTGCAAAGCTAATATTGATAATTTATAATATTATAGGTTAGAATTTCGCTCTACATTATCGACCTTGATCAAGTTCGAGCGTCACTCCAGCATCCCCTTAAGATATTACTATTGATGAAAAATTTCTATTACATTTCTTATTTTTATTTATGTCACAACTTAAACTGTTTCTTTCAATTGTTTGCTTGTTTGCATTTATATTAGGTAAAATATTATTTTGCTAACATACATGAAATTTAACAATCTTTTTTGATGGACCAATTTTTAACATAAGGCTACTTTATTTTACATTATTTTCTTCTGTTTCATTTATGTTTTTTATATCATTCTGTAGATTGTAATCAATTATATATGTATGATAAAATAATTGTAAGTACATTTATATTCTATGATCAATTTTTTTCATACTTTTTCATACTTCATTTGTAATACCTAAATATTCTTATCATCTACATAAATAACATTTATATAATGAAGTAGTAATATGTAATTTTAAAATAAGAATTGTTAATTCTATGTGTATTTTAATTTAGAATAGTATTCATTTTTTATTTTTTTCTATTAAAGTGTCACTCAATGTGGTAAAACTCAATAAAAGATTATAAAAATCAATTTGTTAAAATTTTTACTGTTTTTGTATTAATACTACATTATTAAATACTACATTATATCTCACTCCTTTCTAGAAATCCAGATGCAGGACAATATTTAAGCTTTGCAACTATAAGATGTAGTATGCATCGTGAACGTGAGAAAAGCCGACCATCTGTACCTAATACATTGGAATCATTATATGATATTCTCGAAAATTCTGACATTATACAAAATATTTATAAAGATAAAGTAGTTACAACGGATGGAAAAAGTGCAATAATTTTATCAACTAATTATTTACTGCAAGCATTGTCTTCTACTACTGAAATCTATGTAGATGGAACTTTTTCTGTAAGTACCATTATCTTTTCTTGTAAGAAAGTTCTTAATATCTGACGCATATATAAAAGCAAAATTAAGTATAATTATATAAATTATTTAAAAACATCATTTTTAAGGTTCTTCCACGCAAACCTCATATTGCGCAGCTTTACTCGGTCCATATACGATACATGGATACGGTAAAATATTTATTAAAATCAGTCAGTTTTTTTTAAAGCGTTAAAACGAACGCTTTAAGGAAGATAACTTTAACAAGGATAACGATAAATAACGAAATAAATAACTTGATCTTTCCAGGGTATTGCAACATTATTCATATTATGTGATGTACGTACAACAACTTTGTATGATGCTTTATGGGATAAAATTACACAACTAGTACCACAACTTGAACAAAACATTAAGTTTATTATGAGCGATTTTGAAACAGCTGCAGTAAAATCACTGAATAAGAAGTTTCCTAGTGCTAATTTAACTGGATGTTGGTTCCATTTCAATCAGGTATATATAAAAACGTTCTTCAGATGAATTCATTAATAGTATTAGAAATGTATATACATGTAAGTGTACGTAAGCGAGTGCAATTTCTACAGATAATGTGTTACATATGACAAGACACATGTATGTAATTGATACTATTGTATCTTGTTTATCTTACTTTGAGAAATAATCAGCACTGCCATTCAATTACGTAAATCACTTTTTATTATTTTTTATTTGACAAATTATTGAACAGCCACTGTTGAGTCACTATAGTCATCTCCCTGAGATATCAAACTTCTAAAAAAGTCTTTATTTATATTTTTGTTTCGTTTGATAACAATTGTTACTCGTTCATTGTTGATCACTGAACACTAGTCTGATACCTCAACATCCGATTTTGAAGGTTACTTATTGATAGTCGTAGTAGCAGTACTTAGGCTAGTTACTTTTTATATACTCACAAAATGTGTCTTTTTATTATATTTTTAAAATCTTTATTTTTTTTATCATTTGATGAATACATTTACCTTTTTGTTTTATTTAGATAATATAATGTTTTAATGTTTATTTTGTTAGTCGTTTCGTCTTTATTTTAATATTTTTAATAAAATGCATTAATTTTATTTAATAAAAATACATCAAAGGTATACTTATATCTTACAAAAGTCTATTCTTTCTTTTACAAGCTTTGAAATCATGCTATAAAAAGAATTTAGCCTTATGATTGGATAACAGTTATGGTCAAATAATACGCATTTAGTATTTCGTAGAATATTTAGTATTTTATTTAATAATAGTTTTAGCATGCTAGCTTAGTTAAGATAGCATAGACAACAGTTGATTTGGCTAGTAAAAATATTCGTTTGTTCTTAAATACTTTGAACACATATCTACGCATGTCATCAATACAGTTACAATAAGTATAAGTACAAATATAGAAAAATTACATTACATTTTAAATTTCAGGCTGTACTACGTAAATGGCGAAAACTGCGCCTTTCAAATATTCCAAAAACGGTACTTTCAATGACTATGACATTGCCTTTGTTACCACCAAATATGTTTCAAAAAGCTTTATTAATAATACAAACTGAAGCAGACCTACTTGCTGGTGAACATCCAGATATTTTACAATTCATGTCATATTTAAGACTTACCTGGTCAAATATGGCATCGAAAATTAGTACCTATCATTGTCCTGTACGTACGAATAACATAGTAGAAAGTTTCCATAATATTGCAGTACAGAAATTAGGAACAAGAAATATTAACATATGGACATTCTTAGGTAATATATAAAAATATTTTTTATTAATTTTAAAGATTCTTAAACAGACACACAATTATACTACACTTAGTATATAAAATAATTAAACATTTTACATAACGTGTATCACTTATGTGTGACATTGGCCTAACATTAGGCAATCAAAGTATTTTTATCATAAATTGTCACATATATGTGATAAGTTATATTTTAAATTCAAACGTAATTTTAATTTGAAAAATCAGATACGGCATTTCTTTTACATGTGAAAATCTCAAATATTAAATTTTTAAGTAAATAGATGTTTCTACAAAATAAATGAAAACAGTTTTCATTTCTGATAGCTTAATAATAAGCGATCCATTTTGAGATACTTTCTTTTTGTATTATTATTAAGATGCTATATTTACCTTGTTTCATATCTTATATATTGTTCTCTTTTTCCAGATAAATTATCTCACTTAATTACTGATCAAGAATTAGATTTACGTCGATTAAACAATGGTGTTAGATCTCGACGACCTCATACAAGGGCAAATAGAGAATTTGATTCTAAAATTAGAAATGCGCAAGAAGATTTAGTTAATAAAAGGTATTATTTTATTATTTTATAATTATATAGTGTCCCAGAATGTTGAGTACAAAATTTGTGTATAAATAAAGTGGACTAACTTAAGTCAAAAAATCCTGTACCGGTTTACAAATTTTACAATAGTTATAACGAGTTATTAATTATTAAAAATAGTCGAGTGATAAATGACTATATGTTAAAACTTTAAATTTCAAGGTTATCACTAAAAGAATTTTTACTCATGTTTACGACAAACTATAATGTTTTTCAAATGGAACAAATGGCCTCATTAGAAGGTATGTACTATGCGTACAATACATACTATCGAGCTTTATGCTTATTTATGCTATTAATCGAGCATGTATGCATGTTATTGTATGATCATTTTTACAACGACAGAAATAACATTGTTATAACAAAATAATAAAATAAAATCATAAATCATTATTATATTAATTTACCAAGGTCCATTCCAAAAATTCATAAAACTATTTCTTTTTTCAGATGCTGATTTAACAAATGGTGAACAAGTAGACTTAGTTATTCTCAGATAATTTAAATGAAACTTTTCAGACACGTAAATATTACTTACTTTTCACATATGCAAAACTACCTAGTTCATTAAGATTTTTTCAACATTTTATTTTAAAAAATATTCAACTTTGCTAAATGTTTTAATTTTGTTGCACATATATAACATAGTTAAAAACATAAATAGCAAATTAATAGTACATTTTAATTACTGATTTTATAATGTGCATCTTTTACAAATATTTTTATTTTGTTTCAGGAAAGCAAAATATGAGACGTAAGTCTCGACATTTATATAGAAATTTACATAGTCGAAGAGAAGAACAAACTGTATCTGCAGCAAGTACAGGTAATGCAAGTTATTTTATTACATTTTAAAAATATTTCTAAACTTTTAATTCTTTAAACATTGTCTATAATGTGTGTGTGTGTGTGTGTATGCGCGCGCGCGCGCGCACACACACACACACACACACACACAATATTACATATGCAAAATTAATATCCAGTCATATTACAAAATATCAATTCAGATGAGATATTATCACATGTCAAAATAAATTTATAACTTCACACTTATCCCATACGAATAACTTGTCGTATGAAATTTTTCTGGTGATCTTTCGTGATGATAGATAATTATTTTGGACATAATTATTAAATCGGTAGATTTTTTACTTGTCTAACAAATATTTAAATAAAAGATTACAACAATTTTTGTTTTTAGATAATAGCGAAAATTCTTCAAATATACCGACATTAACGCATGAACAATCTGAAACTAATATTAGTGATTCAGAAGAGCATAACAGATCTCGATCTGGACATAGAAGTTTACATAGTGAAGGAGAGGAACAAAATATATCTGCAATAAGTACAGGTAATAAAAGTAATTTTATCACACTTTAAAAATATTTTGAAACTTTCAATTCTTTAAACATTGTCTATAGTATGTGTGTGCGCGTGCGTGTGCGTGTGCTTGTGTGTGTGTGTGTGCGTGTGCATGCGTGGGCGCGTGCGTGCGTGCGTACTTGCGTGCGTGTGTGCATACCCGATTTACTTATCAAAATTTTTCGGATTATTTATCAAAAAATTTATACATTATTTTAATGGCTGGCACGGGTGAACTGATACATCCTGTATATAAGATTATACACCATTGTAACAAATATTTAAATAAAAGATTTAAAAAAATTTTGTTTTTAGACAACGATAGAGAAAATTCTTCAAATATACAGATAATATCACCTGAACACTCTGAGATTAATATTATTGCTGATTCAGTAAGCCAACTTGACAGATTTCAATCTATACAGACAAATATACATAGTCAAGGAGAGGAACACAATGTATCTGCAATAAGTGCAGGTAAAAGTTATTTTACCACATTTTAAAATCATCCAGAAATTTTTATAAATCCAAACATTTGTAACCCTAGTGTATAGTTCCATACTTTTACGTAACAAATATTTAAATAAAACATTAATAAAATAATAAAGAATAAAATAATTTTTTATTTTCAAATAATAATAGAGAAAATTACTCATGTACAAATAATAACACCTGAAATAAACATTACTTCTGATTGCGAAAACAATTCTACTCATATAAAGTAACGTAGTAGCTCAAGCTATAGTAACAGACTCAAATTAATCTTCATGCACATCAGTACAATATTAATTATTTCTATTTTGTCTTACAGACGATGAATTAATATATGAGGTGCCGGAGGATGATTATTTCTACTTAAACGAAAGAAGTACAGAAGATGGTCCGTTTCACACCGTAAATTG